AGAGTAAACCCCCTTGAAAAAATCGGTATTTTTTATTTCTGAGCTAATACCGTCGAAACGGTAAAAGATATAAAAAAATGTTTCAAATAACAGTTTTATGATTTTTAATGTTCTTTAAAACAGTGTAATTAAATTTTATAAAAATGTCAAATTCCTCCCTCTCCATAATTTGATTGCACTGTTTTGAAGAATATTAAAAACTATATAACTTTTATTTGAAACATTTTTTTTTATATTTTTTTACCGTTTCGACGGTATTAGCTCAGAAATAAAAGAAACGGATTTTTTTCAAGAAAGTGTTTTACTCCCTAAATGTCGAGATACGCAGCTAAAAAAATACGGGTCTAATATTTTTCAATGTTCTAAAACTTATTCCAAGTTTATTAAAATCGGTGAGGGTCATTTACGATCGTTCCCTTGTTATATGAGACATTTTTTTAGTAATTTTTGTAAAGGTTTCTAAAAGATTTTGTGCTATGTAAGTATAAACATAGTTATAAACTTTGTTTTTTAAGACGTAAAAGGTTCAATAACAATCATTTTGCTTAGGAAACATAAATAATTAATCACACACTTAATAAATGTGGGCTATCGGCGTTGTACATACACGATTCCGAAAAAACGTAATTGTCTAATAAAATCAGGAAAAGACAAAATAATTAATGTGAACAAAACGAATGTTGTGTATAAAATTGACTGTGCAAACTGTGACGCTTCATATATTGGACAGTTGATCATGGTAACCTCTACGCCAGGTAAGTAGTGTGGTCAGCAAACATAGGACAGAACATGAACATGATTTTTTGTGGTTGAATCCGGCGGTTTTGCATTGTGAGGCACACACGAAAAAAAGAGATGCAGAAATATTTTATATTAAAAATATGACAATACAATTAATTTACATAAGCACACGGAAAATTTAAATCCTATACGACAAAATAATAATCACTTGAAAAAAACTTTTAAATAAACATAGGTTGCCTCATTTTGTTTCTCGGCTGTTTTTGTCATACATGACTTTACAGACTTTCATACGTCACTTTACAAAGTCAATTTAAGTGCGAAGCATCTATTTTAATATTTGACAATCTTTAATATGTGTGAAGGAAATTCTGTTGCGGAGTTCTCAGGCGATCATGATTTATTTAATTCATTATAATAAGATATTATAATTTGTGATTGGATATTCTCTTATAATTGTACTTTTTTAACAAAAAATCTTTTGTCTGTACTCGTAGCTCACTTGAAAAGGACCGAAATCAATAGTCGAAACGTCGTGATCTATTTTTATGTAACCATAGCCAGTTTGGTCGTATATGAATAAAAATAAATAATTTTATCATCACTGGCGATTCAAATTTTTTATTTGATAAATAATTAATATTAATTCTCGTTTTATATTTTATATTAAATGTATTAGCACATTTTTCAATAATAACCTACTTTTCTAATAATAACCAATCAATGTTTCTTCAAGATGGCGACAAATGCTTTCCTTTAAAATAAATAAGTCTTTTAAAAATGTGATTATTTGTGTTTAATTTATAAATAATTGAATAATAGATTAGTATTGGATAAATATATAAACTCTTTGCCTGTATGAAGTTAGCCCCCCATTTTTCGAATTTTAAAATTTTAAAGGTTGTTCCAGGTTGTTCTAGACTTGTTCTAAATTGTTCCAAAAGATCAAATTTAAAAAATAAAAATTTTCGCGAAAAATGGAAAAAAACGATTTTTTGACCTGGCCCCCCATTTTTCGAAAATCGAACTTTTAAAGGTTGTTCCAGATTGTTCTAGTTGTTCTAAACATTGTTCCAAAGTGATAATTCCCTAAACAAAATATTTCACGAGATATAATAAAAAAATAGTTTCGTGCGCTAAAACAGTATTTTTACGTTTTCGGCTATAGTTATTATCTTTTAAACACCAAACTGTATATTTTAGCTAAAAACGAACAGAACAACCTGGAACAACTCTCAATTTTGCTAGAACATAATTTTAAAGAGTACTTTACTCTTGGAAATAAACACATTTTTCTTGTTTTTTCGTGTTTTTCGACCGATAACGTCGCGACAGCGGTCCCAAACTATACAACAATTACGTACTGGCATAGAACAACTTGGAACAACTCTCAGTTTTGCTAGAACATTATTTTAAAGGGTACTTTACTCTTGGAAATAAACACATTTTTTTTGTTTTTTCATCTTTTTTGCTCGCTAAAGTCGCGATAGCGGTCCCAAACTATAGAACAATTACGTACTGGCATAGAACAACTTGGAACAACTCTCAATTTTGCTAGAACATAATTTTAAAGAGTACTTTACTCTTGGAAATAAACACATTTTTTTTTTTTTTTTTTTTTTCGACCGATAACGTCGCGACAGCGGTCCCAAACTATAGAACAATTACGTACTGGCATAGAACAACTTGGAACAACTCTCAGTTTTGCTAGAACATCATTTTAAAGGGTACTTTACTCTTGGAAATGAACACATTTTTTTTGTTTTTTCATCTTTTTCGCCCGCTAAAGTCGCGACAGCAATCGTAAACTATAGAACAGTTACGTACTGGCATAGAACAACTTGGAACAACTCTCAATTTTACTAGAACATGTTTATTTCCAAGAGTAAAGTACTCTTTAAAATTATGTTGTAGCAAAATTGAGAGTTGTTCCAAGTTGTTCTATGCCAGTACGTAATTGTTCTATAGTTTGGGACCGCTATCGCGACTTTAGCGGGCAAAAAAGATGAAAAAACAAAAAAAATGTGTTTATTTCCAAGAGTAAAGTACTCTTTAAAATAATGTTTCAGCAAAACTGAGAGTTGTTCCAAGTTGTTCTATGCCAGTACGTAATTGTTCTATAGTTTGGGACCGCTATCGCGACTTTAGCGAGCAAAAAAGATGAAAAAACAAGAAAAATGTGTTTATTTCCAAGAGTAAAGTACTCTTTAAAATTATGTTCTAGCAAAATTGAGAATTGTTCCAAGTTGTTCTATGCCAGTACGTAATTGTTCTATAGTTTGGGACCGCTATGCGACTTTAGCGGGCAAAAAAGATGAAAAAACAAAAAAATGTGTTTATTTCCAAGAGTAAAGTACCCTTTAAAATAATGTTCTAGCAAAACTGAGAGTTGTTCCAAGTTGTTCTATGCCAGTACGTAATTGTTCTATAGTTTGGGACCGCTATCGCGACTTTAGCGGGCAAAAAAGATGAAAAAACAAAAAAAATGTGTTTATTTCCAAGAGTAAAGTACTCTTTAAAATTATGTTCTAGCAAAATTGAGAGTTGTTCCAGGTTGTTCTGTTCGTTTTTAGCTAAAATATACAGTTTGGTGTTTAAAAGATAATAACTATAGCCGAAAACGTAAAAATACTGTTTTAGCGCACGAAACTATTTTTTTATTATATCTCGTGAAATATTTTGTTTAGGGAATTATCACTTTGGAACAATGTTTAGAACAACTAGAACAATATGGAACAACCTTTAAAAGTTCGATTTTCGAAAAATGGGGGGCCAGGTTAAAAAATCGTTTTTTTCCATTTTTCGCGAAAATTTTTATTTTTTAAATTTGATCTTTTGGAACAATTTAGAACAAGTCTAGAACAACCTGGAACAACCTTTAAAATTTTAAAATTCGAAAAATGGGGGGCTAACTTCATACAGGCAAACTCTTTTTGATTTGTGAAATAATACATAGTTGTAAATCTTGGCCAATTATTGTAACATCTATTATATTTTCGTGATAGAAAATAATTCTAGACGAATACGCGTGACTCAATTATAGTAAAAATGCTAGCAATATAACAGTATGCCAGCAAACTCAATTATATTATAACAGCAGATTTTAGTGTGCTTTGCCATTAAATTTGGTTTCTAATAACACAGTTTGAAAATACAATATGACAGCAAAAATGTAACAAAAATTGTGTTGCCATCATGACGGCCGTAGCAATAACAGAGTACGATTTACTTTATTTACCAATTGACAGCATCTAGTATATACAGTTATATTAATATAACTATGACAAAAATATTATAACTAAATATTATTAAAGCTCCTGAGTTTTCGCCGCGGCCATGTTGAATTGTTACTTCAGAGGCGAGAAAGCACACGCTGAAAATTCTTCAATGTCATTTTTAAATGAAAAGATATTTCGTTGAAACACTATTTCAGATGGCTTTAGCATACTTTAAAAATACCTCGAAAACTATACTTTTCCTTTGACAGTCAATCAACAATCGTAAAATGATCGTGATATTAAACTTCGTCATGCTAGTTTTCGAGATATTTTAAGAGTGTGTGCTGTTTCATTGAAATATCTTTTTATTTCGAAATAGCATTTAACAATAAGAATTTTTAGCGTGTTTTCTAGCTTCTGACATAATTTTGACATAGTCGGCGAGAGCCTAGTAGCTTTAATAACTATAAGTATTATTACACATAAATGCATGTTTTATTATAGTTATTACTTATTAAATTGTAATTATTGAGTGTACTTGTAATTTTAAATTTGGCAGACGTACTTGCCAAAGTCTGTCGTAAATAAAAAATATTTAAATTTGAAAAATAAATATTTCTAAACTTAATATGATTTTTTTAATCAATAAAATGCTGTTCAATTTTGATATATAATTACAAGAAAAGGTGATTTTGTTGGATTTGTATTAATATAATTGTGATTATACCAGGCGTGTTCTACATTTGCTATATTTTTACCATTATAACGAAGCAACAGACTGCTCAATCTCTGCTGTGTTCCTACTGTATCAGTATCTGATCACTTTGCTTAATATTTATTAACACTAAGTAATATTTGCTATATCTTACACGATGTAATAGTAAATACTTATACTGCTATTACGTAATTCAAACTAATTTCTTTATTGACAAATATATAATTTACATATGTATATTATTCTTATTATTATTTCAATCTTATAACAAAATTATGTATTTATTTTCAGATATAAAATCTATATATACATATATATATATATATATATATAGGCATTATATATATTATATATATATATATATATACATACGAAAATATGCCGGAAGAGCAAAAGGTCACTGGTGCTCCGACGGAAGCAATGGCGGAAAATGGAACCGGAACAAACTCGCCTACCAAGAGTCCGGTTAGCAAAGGAAAAATGACTCTTGCCAAAATTACCCTTCTAGATGGTACTATACGAGATTTCTACATCGATGTAAGTGTCTAAAAGTATTTTGTTTATATTTATTATATGCATCAAATTTACATTCTATTTATTTGATATTATAATATAAATATATTGAATACTTAAATACTTAATGATAGATACATATATATTTAATTTTTTTGTTGCAGAGAAAGGCGAGAGGGCAAGATCTTCTCGATATGGTTTGTCAAAGCATGAATTTGCTGGAAAAAGATTATTTTGGTTTTATCTATGAAGACCGACATGATTCTCGCAATTGGTTGGATCTTTATAAAAGAATCATAAAATTTATAAAAAGTATAAACACTATGAAAAATTATATTATACAATGATAGGTAATAGTATGTTAGAGTACTTCTTCTAAAGTTAATATATGATTTTAGCTGAACCATGGAAGTTCAATTTTGAAGTGAAATTTTATCCACCGGATCCAGCCCAATTGCAAGAAGATATTACGCGTTATCAACTATGTCTACAGATCAGAAACGATATTATTACAGGTCGTCTACTTTGTTCTTTTGTGACACATGCTCTCTTAGGCTCCTATCTGGTTCAGTCAGAAATTGGAGATTATGATCCTGAGGAACATGGAAGGTCATATTTGAAAGACTTTAAATTTGCACCTAACCAAACACCCGAATTAATCGAAAAAGTCATGGATCTTCATAAAACACATAAGTTAGTTTTATTTTACATAAACAATTGATTTTTATTTATGGAATGAGAAAAATAGATTATTTAATGAAATAATATTTTTGCTATATTTTAGGGGTCAAACACCCGCTGAAGCAGAGCTGCATTATCTCGAAAATGCGAAAAAATTAGCTATGTATGGCGTAGATCTTCATCCTGCAAAAGATTCGGAAGGGGTTGATATCATGTTAGGAGTATGCGCTTCAGGCCTTCTGGTTTATAGAGATTGTTTAAGAATTAATAGATTCGCCTGGCCAAAGATATTAAAAATATCTTACAAAAGGCATAATTTCTATATTAAAATTAGACCAGGTGACTTTGAACAATTCGAATCTACAATTGGATTCAAATTGGCAAATCATAGAGCAGCGAAAAAATTATGGAAAGTGTGCGTGGAGCATCATACTTTCTTCAGGTGAGTAATAATTGTAAGCAGTATATTTTTTTAAATTTTTGATGCTTTAAATTTGAAACAAATAAATTTTTATTTTTATAGACTTATGAGTCCAGAACCTGTGAAGAAAGTGGGATTAATTCCGTATTTGGGATCTCGTTTCCGATATTCTGGCAGAACTCATTACGAAACGAAGAAAACTCCTATTGATAGACAACCTCCTCAATTCGAGAGATCTTTAAGTGGCCGACGACTCGCATCTAGAAGCATGGATGGTGAATAAAGTTTTTATCACTTGCGAATAATATCCAAATACAAATGTATGATATAATAACGATGATTTAATGGAAAATTTTCAATTATTATAATTGGAGGATGGAGTAGTAATTCTGTCTGGAATATCTCCGCTATTTTAAAAGAAACAAAAATATTGTAATGAAAGTTGTACAGTATCAAGATAGTCATAATATGCTAGTAATAATTATTTTATGGGAGGCATTTGAGATTTTGAAGTCATTATTACTTTTTAAAATGAAACCACTGCAATTTTCTTATATAAATTGATTCCTTATAATATTTGACGTAAAAAATTATTAAAATAGAATTGAATAATCGAAAAACGAACGGTTATGAAGTATTTTATGCTTTATATTTTGTTTTATATTTTATGCTTTATTAGGATAAAATATAAAATATCTAATATAAATATATGTAATGTATTTTTCGGTAACCTTAATAATTTTCTGCATGAGATAATAAGATAAATTAATTAGTATAAGAAAGACATATTCTTTATGATTAAAAAAATTGTAACTAGTAATTACATATTATTTCTTAAGGACAACCATGTTGTTTTTCTTTATACTAATTAATTTCTCATTATTTTATGCATAAAAATTATTGAAGTAAGATCATCGAAAAATGAATATTTCACGAGGTATTTTATAGTTTACATAAGATTATGTCAAATTGAAGTATAAAATATTTCATAAACTTCACTTTTTGGTCATCCTACCCTACTATAACATTTTATTGCTAAATATTACAAGGAATTGATTTATACGAAAACATTATAATGGTTCCACTTAATAAAAAAAATGAATGAGGTCCCCTTTTTGTACCTTAAAAGTTTCCAACATTTTTTTATCTATAAATGTTTAGATCTTTAGATGCCCAATTTAATTTTTAAAATTTAAGTTAATATCTCGGCGACACAATGGACTTTGTCTGCGTGCCTTGGGCAGAGCTTCTATAAGAGGTTCTTCCCCCCCATCTCGTATTATTAAGTTAATATCTCTAGCAGTAGCGGAGAAAACAACTTGTAACATTTTATGTGAGATATCCTGTATGTGTATGTATTAGACAGATATCTGATTTAAAAGTTTCCTATTAAGGCATCCATAAGCATGTGTTTTTAATATTAGAGTGGCATTATTAATATTCAATCTTTCAATTTTTAAAACACTATTTTCCTTTCTATGAGATATTTTCAAAATCTATTATAAACCACAAGTGCCTTTTTATAATTATATTTTTAAGTCTGCGATACTAAAGATGTTGAAGTAGTGTGACTGCCTTGTATAGCATTAGGTGGGCCTAAATCAGTTGAAACGTATGGTTCCGAACCAAGCAAACGGCATACTATGAGTTATGAGCCTGAGACGCTTCCTGATGATATAGAGCATATAGACCGACGGCCTAGCCCTATCAAGAAACAAAAAGAAAAGGTAATATTTATATGTTTTTATTTTGATTGTTCATGTATTTATATTAGAAAGAGAGATGAGTGAGTGAGTGAGTGAGTGAGTGAGTGAGTGAGTGAATGAATGAATGAATGAATGAGTGAATGAGTGAGTGAATGATAGGGCGAATGAAGGAAGGAACGAATTAACGAATGCCAACTTAACGAGCTTATATGCTATTAATGACTATACAAAAGTTCAGATAAACGTCGACTGTGAGTGTCAATAAGATTATATGCAGTACAAATTCATGTTTGTTGGCATGAGTTAGAGCGTCAGATGCTGTTATATTATGACGAATAGTCACAATGTGTTGATGAAACGTTTATCTGAACTTTTGTATAGTATGAAGGTTCAATTAATAGCATATAAGCTCGTTAAGTTGGCCTTTTATTATATCACATATTCTTTTTGTAATTATTAATTGCTTAAATGTAGAGTAGATATAAATTTCGTCATGTAAATGTAAAACTGCAAAATCATAGCAAAATTTATAAATTATGTATTTTTTAAATCCTATATATGTTTTTATATTAATTATTTAATTATTAAGAAAACGATTTTTATAATAACTATTAATGAAGAAAATATGTGATGTAATGTATAAATTTTATGATAAGTAAAATTGCAACAAATTTTATACAATATTTTTGCAAAAGTTTTTATCAGTAAAGTCATGGAACATCAATTACATGTTTTCCATATTGAGTCAGTAAAGGCTGAGTTGATTGACTCTACTATCTTTTACATTCATTAATTTTTTTATTGATTGTATCAATTTACAATACATTGATTCGCTTATTTATATTACACTGTTAACATACACTATATATTATAGAATAAGATGACAAATTTTATGATTTATTGATTTTTCTTAACTTTTATAATAACTTAAAATTTTTATTCTATAATGATTTAAAATTGTTTTATGTTTTAAATGAAAGAAAAAAATTGTGATAAATTTAAACTTGACTAAAGCCATTTTTCAAGGTTATGTCAAGAGATCAATCTTGTTTTTTTTTAAATAAAAAGAAGTTTAAAACATTTCAAATTTTAAAAGCTCCCTCAATTTTGCGTAAAAACCTTAATTGTAAGACATATAACTTCAATAGTAAAAATATAAGAATTAAAATTAGATATAAAATTATTAATGCTCGCATGTAGGAATGTGTGCATAGGTGCGTTGTGTTAAATAGATAGGTGTATCTATATTCTAATTCTTAACGTTATTCAGGATCACGACGATGACGTGACGTGGGTATCCGGTCCGTTTAGGGTGTTTTATTAGCGTGAGTCCCTTTAACTCTCACGTTTGAAGTGTTTGATTACCATTAGTTTTTGTTTCTCACGTTCGAAATACTTGATTACCGTGAGTTTTTTTATTTCTCATATGTGTATGTGTCTAATCATCAATTAAATATTTCCTTTGTCTTTACGCGCAGAATTTGTTTGAAACTATTTATCCTAGTTTAAAATTTTATGGGGAATTTTTCTGCGGATTATATATTATATGTGTATTCACCTATAAAAGAAGGCCATTAAAATGTATCATAATTTTTTGACATCTTTGAATTGTGATAAATTCAATAATCATTGAATTGAGATAAACCAAAGCTTAAATTAAAACTTATATATTTTTCTTAATAACCCAAAAAACAAAAATTAAATTATAAAAAATGTTTTACAAAATAGCGAACTTTGAATATAGATATTGAGAAATGGGAAAAAGTGTCTGTTTAAAATTTTTGCATAGCTTAAGCTTAGGGAAATCGGCTCCTTAGTACAAAAATATTAATTTTTAAGCTCATTTATTTCTAACAAATCCATATTTTAAATATTTTTTATGGCCTTGTTTGATAATATTGTGTTAAAGAAAATGTTACAAAATGGTTGTGTAAAATTTGCAATTCAGAAATAATTATCATGAAAAACTTTAAAAAAAAAAATTTTAATTTAATGCTAAATAATAGCTTATTTTAATGCTAAATAACTTCTAAACTATTGGTGCAAAATTGAGCACTTTTTTGGAATTTGCTAAACAATACTTCTGTCTTTTAAAAAGAAAAAACGTTAACTTTTATATAATTATCTTGAAAAATGACTTTAGTTAAAATTTTAGATCAGCAATTTTTTCTTGTCTTTCAAAATCCTATAAATTTTATCTGAAATATTTTGCCTGCTGCGAACTCACTTTTCAAGATATTCAATTAGACTGTTTAAAATGGAACATTCTATGTGTAATTTTTACATATCTACCCATGTAGATATAGTTGAATCTAATAAGAGCAAATTTTTCCAAATGCTTGCTACAAATTATTATCAACAAAATAGCTACGAATTTAGTGTAAGAATTATTATTGAATAAGTCGGCAGATTGTCGATATTATAGAAATCTACTAATAATTAGATCTGCTAATATAATCTGAAGTCTGACATCAGATTGACGATAGAAACTAAGCAGAATTTAAACGTAGAATCTGACGGTTGATTATTGTATAGTAGAATCCAAACAGAATGTGTCATTTTACTGTTCAATTATATTTTCTGGTTATTTAAACCGAATAATGATGTAGATAGGTATTTAAAGACTTTTAAGGCTTCTGTGCCCTTGCCAACTATATTGGAATTATAACGTCAGAAACGAGAAAGCACACATTAAAAATTCTCGCGTACCTAAGCTATGCAAAAATTTTTAGACAAAAAATATTTCGATGATACATATTACTCAGATAGCTTCAACACATTTAAAATATTACTGAAACTATCTTGTTCCCTTTATAATCAATCAAGAGCTGTAAAATGATTGTGATATGAGGTCTGATCCGTAGTCTTGCACATGCACAGTCATTCCGTATGACAAAGTCTGATACCACAATTATTTTATGGTTGTTGATTAACTGTCAAGGAAAAAAATGGCTTTCGGAGTATTTTAAAAGTGCTAATGCCGCTTGAAATTGCGTTTCATCAAAATATCTTTTTATCTAAAAATGACGCAATAATTTTCAGCGTCTGTTTTCTCACCTCTGACGTCACAATCTAACATACCGCGGCAAGTATTCAGGAGCCTTAAGGGGAGCACACACTTTACATAGGCGCATAAGCATAAGCATAAGAATCTTGATTGGTCTATAAATATATGCATAAGAAATTCTATCAATCAAAGTAAGATGTTAAAAAAGGTCGATTTCCCGACTATCGATGGAACCTAAAATTCGAGTTCCATGGATATATATGAATCATATAAGATATAAAAATGATGGTCTTTTTCCTAGAGACCTGGGAAAAGTATTGAAAATCTTTCAAAACTATTGAAAATAGCGTCATTCGATCGATCTGAAGACAACTAAAATCGGTGACATAGATGAATTTTCAATCAAACCAAGTTCTGGTTAAACACTTATCAAATAGTTTTTGAGATTAATAATGTTTTAATATCGGGATTGCAAAATTCAAAATTGCGGATCCAATATGGTGGATCAGTATTGAGAGAAACTAGATGCCAGGATGCAGTTACTTCCGAATAAAAGATGTGATTCCACATTTAAATACATTATGTTTTTTAGTTTGTTAAATATTTTTGTTTCTCAATTGATTGCTCACAATTACTTAAATAATTCTATTCAACAATAAAACATATATGTTTTATTGTTGAATAGAATTATTTAGTTCTAACATAGAGTATATTAATAGTTCTCATATTTTCTATGTTAGAACTAAAGAATGTTATTCAACAATGAAACAAAATATTTAAATAAAAAAACTAAAAACAATATATTTGAATGTGGAATCAGATCTTTTGAAAGCAACTATATCCTTGAATCTAGTTTCTCCCAATACTGATCTACCATATTGAATCCGCAATCTTGAATTTTGCGATCCCGGTATTAAAACATTATTGATCTGGAAACCTATTTGATAAGTGTTTAACCAGGGTATTGATTCTATAACTTTTTCTAAAGTGAAAACGTGAAAAGTGAAAAATTTTCACCAATCACATATCGATTTCATTTTAAAATCAATTTGTAATTAGTGGAAATTTTTCACTTTTCACATTTTTACTTTAGAAAAAATTACAGAATCGATACCCTAACCTTGATTTGATTGAAAATTCATCCATGTCATCGATTTTATAGTTATCTTCAGATCGATCAAATGACGCTATTCTCCATAGTTTTGATAGATTTTCAATACTTTCCCCAGGTCTCTAGGAAAAAAGACCATCATTTTTACATCTTATATGGTTCATAGATACTCATGGAACTCGAATTTTAGGTTCCATCGATAGTTGGGAAATCGACTTTTTTAACATCCTTCTTTCTTATGTATATGTTTATGCGCTTATGCAAAAATGTGTGCTCCTACTTTAATATTTAATTTAATAGCTTTTTGTTTAGCACTATGCGACATACTTTTTCGTATTTTTCTGTTAGATATGCATATATAAATTCTACAAAACACGGTTATTAATATAAGATCAAAAGTAACTGTTTCTATTAGTTTAATTTTTGATTATTTAATATGTAAGCCTAGCAGAAGATTTAAACGAATTAATAAAAATATTAAATTAATTGGAATCAATAAGATAAATTGAAAATTATTTGTTTACTGTCTATTTATACGAAACAGAAGTTTAATTTCGATATAAAATTATATCTCGAGTTTTATAAATTTAATTATTTTACAATTTATTTTATTATTTAATTAAGTTGAACTATATATATATATATATATATATATATATATATATATATAGTTCAACTTAATTAAATAATAAAATAAATTGTAAAAATAATATATATATATATATATATACACATACATAATTATATATATGTACATACATAATTGATATATGGGATATAACTATGATAACATATATATATGTTACATTACATACATCCCAAGGAGAACAGAAATGTCAAAATGATGTCGAATTGACGTCAAAATATGGTCAAAATGTAGTCATTTTAGTTCGTCAAAATGACATCAAATTGCATAAAATTTTGATGTTATCTTGATGTTTACAATGATAAAAATTATTTTGTATTAAAAATAATTGAGATGCAAATTTAAAACGTGTAAGCCGCTTAAAATAATATTTTAATCAACAATTTAGTTTTTAATACAATAACTCAACTCTTCTGCAAACTGCAATAATATCTGAATATGAAAAATGTTAACCTTTAATTAGCTTCATAATAATAAGCATTGTATATACACAGTCGAAAAATGTATATCACATTTTCTAAAAATTAAAAAGGTCAAAAAGAGTCAATATAAAAAGTAATTTTTTAGTCATCTTCGAGATCGAGATTTCCATGATCAAAAAATGATATAAATTTAGTCAATATGACGTCAAATTGATATTATTTTGATTTTTCTGTTCTCCTTGGGAATATTATATGTATTTATGAGAAGAAAATTACTGCTCAATTTGCTATCAGATTTTGTTGGCAGATCACACGCAGACAGTTGATGTCAATTTGCTTATCAACGAAAGTCTCCAAGAAATTATTTATTCCTATAAAAATTTTTCTAATAAGTTAAATATTAGCTCATCTGTTATTATATTAGTTATTATATTATAAAAATTAATAACTCGTTATCTTACTCATTTTGTCATCTTATTCCTTTTTCCGTGTAAATAAAACTTTTATATTCTATTATATTATATTAATGATTTATATAGCACATATAGAGAATTGCGTATCACATATTGTTTTTGATAGAAGAATAGAATTGTATTCACCATCAATGCTTAAGTTAAAAAATCATCAAAGATCTTTATCAAAATTTGAAGAGCTAAGTCTTAAAAAAATTTTCTATTTGTGGAACATGTTGATAGTCTTAATTATTAACGAATACATAACTAACACCAATAGCTTACACGAAAGACAAGTGCTGGAACAACATCAGCTAGCAGTACCAGTAGCCTTGAAGGAGAATATGATGCTGATCGTGGGAGAAAGGTATAGAAAATTTTAGCTAGAATTTCTGCTTGAGTTTATTTTATAATAATATATATGTATGTATAATTATATATTAATATTATTTTTTGTTTGTGTGTCCCTCGATGTTTTATTTCTTGAAATGCATGTTGCTATATATATATATATTTTTTTAATTTGTATTTCTCACAAATATTCGATCATCGCTTCAGTATATGAGATGTTAGATCAAAAATATATTAATAAAACATAAAAAGTAGGCCAAATAAACGAGCCAAAATAATTTAGATGTAAGGATAAAATTATTTATTCATAATATAAATGTAGATGTTTCGACCTTACTAGATCTTTTTCACTACAATCAATCGCAAGTATAAAATTATAAAATATAATAAAGAAATTTAAACATAATCTCGCAAGCTATGTAAAGACGAAACTTCGATTATCATTCGATTTAATTACAATGGTTGAAACAATTATTCTTAGATGTCTTATGTTTAAGACCATCTCTCAATTAAATGCACGGAGTCCAAATTCGTCGTTGGACCCATTTATTCAAGCCCTTTTTTTCCCACAAAATAGATATATTAAAAGGATTCCAATAAAGAACACTCCGAAAAATATAAATTAGCAATAACTTACATATTGATGTTATGTAACTTACATATTGATGTTAGGTTGTTGCGACTCAGCAATATCAAGGAATAATATGTGTCGTTATTATATCATAGCCTGTTTATATAGTCAATAGTGTTGTCAATAGTTAAAGGTAAATTTTTTTTTTTTTTTTTTAATTAAAAAAGTGTCAGATAATTCTTCTAAAATGTCAAAATAACAGCTTTCAAGAGATTTGATGTCTTTCTTTAAATTTATACTATTTTTATGTTTTTTTATGTATAACATTTTAGAAGTCTTTTATTATAGTTGATTTCATGACTGAAATATTAGATCATGAAATCAACTATAATAAAAGACTTATTTCTGAAATGTTATACATAAAAGAACATAAAAATAGCATAAATTTAAAGAAAGACATCGAATCTCTTAAAAGCTGTTATTTTGACATTTTAGAAGAATTATCTGACACACTTTTTAATTAAAAAAAAAAAAATTTACCTTTAACTATTGACAACACTATTGACTATATAAACAGGCTATGATATAATAATGACACATATTATTCCTTGATATTGCTGAGTCGCAACAACCAACACATAACATCAATATGTAAGTTATTGCTAATTTATATTTTTCGGAGTGTTCTTCATTGAAATCCTTTTAATATATCTATTTTGTGAGAAAAAAGGGCTTGAATAAATGGGACTCACCTCATGAAGATGCCGGAACAGACTGTTCGCGCTGTCCAACGACGAATTTGGACTCCGTGCATTTAATTGAGAAATGGTCTTAAACATAAGACATCTAAGAATAATTGTTTCAACCATTGTAATTAAATCGAATGATAATCGAAGTTTCGTCTTTACATAGCTTGCGAGATTATGTTTAAATTTCTTTATTATATTTTATAATTTTATACTTGCGGTTGTGATTGTATTGATAAAGATCTAGTAAGGTCGAAACGTCTACATTTATATTATGAATAAATAATTTTTAATTATTCTTACATCTAAATTATTTTGGCTCGTTTATTTGGCCTACTTTTTGTTTTATTAATTTTAAATTTTACACGAACGTTAATTTGTATTTTTATTGTTTTAACAAAAATATGTTATTAAAACATTAATTTTTCATTAATTTTGAATATTTAAAGTAATCTTGAAATTCTTAAGCCATCTGTTTTACCGATGAAACGCGATGAAATTCGATCTCTAATGTTTTTATTGGCTATACAGATTGAAAAATCATTTTCCACAATTAAAGTACTAATAATAATGACGAATTGTGGACGCTATAATTTTATGTAAAAAGAAGTTAAAAAATTACTCTTAATTTTTTATTGACCTTAAAAAATTTTTTTAAATTTTGTTTTTTACATAAAATTATGATGTCCACAATTCATTATTATTAGTATTTTAATTGTAGAAAAGGATTTTTCAATCTGTATAGATTTTTCAATCTCAATAAAAAGATTAGAGGTTGAATCCAACTTCGCGTTTCATCGGTAAAACAAACTGCTTTAGGATCTCTTTAATATTAATCTTAGAATTTTTTATTATTTATATATATAATAAACTATATAACTACATTATTTAATAAACTATATTATATAAACTATTCAATATGTATAAATAAACTTTTACATATTAAACAAAAGCGGTACATATATATACATATATATATTTATATATATACGAGATTTAAGATAACAAATTGCGACAAATATACATATTTTGAAAACGTATATCAATATGTAGAGCATGTATTGCATCTTAAGAAGGGATTTTTCGTGTAATTTTAGTAAAATAGTGGCTTTACGCTTGGTGCATGAAGTAACGTGTGATTGAACAAATTTACTTGTAGAAACCGGTCGGAGGAATAGCTGTCCTACCGCCCGGTAATCTATCAAAGAAGAAGAAGGATGAACAGAATGAGAATGAAAAAGAAAATCACAATGATCTGAATAATACTGATTTGATTAATGATAATGCCCATGCTGAAAATATTGATGACAAATCATTGTCTAAAAAAGAATTGAAAAAGAAGGATAAAGAATCGCCCAAAAAAGTAAATAAAGAAAAAAAGGAAAAAGTTAAGGTAAGTTTATATTATGTGTTGTACGCACTTTGCTGTTTTTTTAATATATTCTTATATACAGGATGTCCCCGACCTAGAAAAAATCGTCTCCAAATCGTCTCAGTAATCTCCCATTAACGTGTGATACGGTAGGTCTGGGACTGGGACACTCTGTATATACAATATATATCTTAAACAAAAAAGTTTTAAATATATTTTTACAAGTAGTGTATTCCAGTTAACGTTTATTATTTTATTATTTTTTAAATATTATTTTAAATATAATTCAATAACAAAGTGATAAATATAAGGCCAACTTATCGAGCTGAATATTCGAGATGTTCAGTCAACTACCATTTATTACATGTATAAATTATAAAACTACAGTCATTATATTAAAACTAACGCAAATTACAATCATTCTATAAACGTTTCGACCGCACGCGGTCTTCTTCAGTATAATTATTGAAATATAAATTCTTACAATTCACATAATATCGAAATTTAATTATAGTTATTCAGAATCAAGAGTTTTTGAGCAATTAACGCGTGTTTCAATCCGTCCTGTCCAACAATGTTCGCCTCGATATGATCCCTGATTTTGTTCAGATCTCGGATAGTTTCATCGTTAATATGCGAGAAATTAACCCGTTCCGTAGGCGCTGCGATTAATAAAAAATTACCGATCAACGTATGTCCAAATTATAATATGTATCCCCTACAATTGGTAGTATGCTTACCTATCATCGTTCTTCTTGACAATTTTGCTACTTATTAACAGTTATTAAGGATGACACATAACAAACCAACAATACAGAAAGACAGCTCATTTTAAACTCTACTTGATCGGAGAGCGTGCGTGTTTATATATGATCTAATATCTATGTTTTACTCGTTAATGTCCTATTTGTCCTATTATTATTTCTTGTTCGCTAATATATCCAAAATATCAAAATACGACTCGCTAAGTAACTCAGTATCTTTGTTTAAATTTAGTCCATTTTTTTGTTCCTTGATATGTAGCATCTCAGAAATGAGTCTTTTATAATAATTATTTTCGTTGTCCATGATCTTAACATTGTCCCAATTAAAAGTATGATGTTCATTTATTATGTGTTCAGAAATTACTGAATGTTTCGTTGAGTCCAATCTAATATTATTTTTATGTTCTTTCATTCGCGTCTGCAATTGCCTCTTTGTTTGGCCTACATAAGATGCATTACAATTATTGCAACTGATCTTATAAACCACATTCGAATTGCATGGATGTTTAGTTTTATCTTTCTGCGCTTTAATAATATTATCCAGTTTGTTGAGACATCTATACCCTACCATACAATTTTTATTTTTTACCGAGGAAACAATCATTTCTGAGATCCCATCTATATACGGAATGACAAAGAATTTTTTATTGACCGAGTCATTTCCTATACTTTTTGTTCTTTCTATGTTGGCCTGTCTCTCTATAATGCTCCCCTTAGATATGATGTGTTCTATCCGATGATTAATTTTGTTAAAAATCAGATCAAGAGGGTAACCATTGCTTCTGAAGCAATGGTTACCCTCTTGATCTGATTTTAACAAAATTAATCATCGGATAGAACACATCATATCTAAGGGGAGCATTATAGAGAGACAGGCCAACATAGAAAGAACAAAAAGTATAGGAAATGACTCGGTCAATAAAAAATTCTTTGTCATTCCGTATATAGATGGGATCTCAGAAATGATTGTTTCCTCGGTAAAAAATAAAAATTGTATGGTAGGGTATAGATGTCTCAACAAACTGGATAATATTATTAAAGCGCAGAAAGATAAAACTAAACATCCATGCAATTCGAATGTGGTTTATAAGATCAGTTGCAATAATTGTAATGCATCTTATGTAGGCCAAACAAAGAGGCAATTGCAGACGCGAATGAAAGAACATAAAAATAATATTAGATTGGACTCAACGAAACATTCAGTAATTTCTGAACACATAATAAATGAACATCATACTTTTAATTGGGACAATGTTAAGATCATGGACAACGAAAATAATTATTATAAAAGACTCATTTCTGAGATGCTACATATCAAGGAACAAAAAAATGGACTAAATTTAAACAAAGATACTGAGTTACTTAGCGAGTCGTATTTTGATATTTTGGATATATTAGCGAACAAGAAATAATAATAGGACAAATAGGACATTAACGAGTAAAACATAGATATTAGATCATATATAAACACGCACGCTCTCCGATCAAGTAGAGTTTAAAATGAGCTGTCTTTCTGTATTGTTGGTTTGTTATGTGTCATCCTTAATAACTGTTAATAAGTAGCAAAATTGTCAAGAAGAACGATGATAGGTAAGCATACTACCAATTGTAGGGGATACATATTATAATTTGGACATACGTTGATCGGTAATTTTTTATTAATCGCAGCGCCTACGGAACGGGTTAATTTCTCGCATATTAACGATGAAACTATCCGAGATCTGAACAAAATCAGGGATCATATCGAGGCGAACATTGTTGGACAGGACGGATTGAAACACGCGTTAATTGCTCAAAAACTCTTGATTCTGAATAACTATAATTAAATTTCGATATTATGTGAATTGTAAGAATTTATATTTCAATAATTATACTGAAGAAGACCGCGTGCGGTCGAAACGTTTATAGAATGATTGTAATTTGCGTTAGTTTTAATATAATGACTGTAGTTTTATAATTTATACATGTAATAAATGGTAGTTGACTGAACATCTCGAATATTCAGCTCGATAAGTTGGCCTTATATTTATCACTTTGTTTTCAATATACGAGCGACAATTGTATTAATTTATAATTCAATAAGTTTTCTAGCATCAAATTTCAATAATAATGTTGAACAAATATTTCATAAAAAAAGTTATAATTATTTTTTACTTGAATGTGCATATATTTTTTATATAGTTTAAACATGCATGAAGGATTAGTTTCTACTTCTGCATAAATAATAGATTTGCATTAGTAGATGTTATTAATTTTCTTTAAATCTGTGAAATATATTTTATATAAATTTTACATTATGTATAGCATGTTTTTGTACTGCATGTTTTTATGTATTATCTAAGAGTCCTGTCGGCGGTTTCCTGTTTGCGAAAAAGGATAAAGATAAGAAACAGAAAAAGAACAAAGAACTCGATGAATCTATGGACAAAAGTGATGCTGAATTGAATCTTTCTACGGAAAGGCAAGAAAAGGAGATTGATAAAGAAACAGATGTAGAAAAAAAAGAAGATCCTGCGAAATCTTCTCAACTTCCCAGTTACACGAAACCTTACGATTATGAAGAAACGGAAGCTTCGCCCACGAGAAAACCAATTACTTCACACGGTTTTACGTATGAAGATCGACCCGCATCGCCAGGAACAATGCAGAGTCAATCGTCACCTACAGCTAGTCGGAAAGCTACTGGATTGGCATTTAACTATGCTCCAGGAGAAGAAAAAAGGTAGCAGAGTCTGCAGAAAAGAGAAAAACAAAAGAAGCGGACAAGCAAGGGTTAAAGACACCGGGCCTCAATTACGTAGAGTCTGCTGCCCTTAAGGAGCAACAAAAGAAAGTAGGTGCTGATAAGGATCAAGCAGAGACTTTCATTGCTGGTGAACGTCAAGATAGTACTAATCTGGCTGTACCATTAGTGCCACCAGTATCAGCGGAATTTAAGCCAGACTATCACATTTTGCCTCTTCCTGATGGTTCGAGAATCATCGGAGGTATGATTTATACTAAAGAGGGTAAATTATTAGATCAAAGCAATCTTGGACCATACGGTAGCAAAATAATAGACGGTAAAGTCTGCGGGAAAGATGATAAGTTGCTGAAAAAAGCCGATTTTGGACCACACGGAGTTCATGTCAGCAACGGTCTAATAACCGGGAAAGATAACAAGCCTATGCATCAGGAAATATTAGGTACGGATAGAAATTCAATAAAGAACGGCATTATTTATTCTTCCAACGGTGAAATAGTAAAACAGTCTTTCCTCGGACCAAATTATTCATTGGTAAAAGAAGGAAAAATACTATTGAAGAACGGCAAACCGGTTCAACATTGTCAATTAGGTACGGATGGAATGTACGTGAAAGAAGGTCTCATCTTTACATCTAATTCCAAACCTATGACTCAGGGATCATATAATACAGACGAAAAATACATAGTTGCCGGTATAGTATATAACGAAGATGGCAAACCTTTGACGCAAATTGCAATTGTATCTGATGATACATTTATCTGCGATGGTTTAATTCACGGACGAGATGGAAAATTGCTTAATGCCGGGAAATTAGGTCCAGAAGGTTATAATATTACGGAAGGAAAAATTTACTCGAAAGACGGCAAACTGATCAAGCATGAATCTTTCAGTTCTGACGGATCTATCATAAAGGACGGAATAATTTATTCGAAAGATGGAAAGTTCTTGATTCAAGGATCGCTGCTACCGAGCGGTGCTCACCTAAAAGATGGAAAAGTGATCGGTAAAGATGGCAAGTCTATCAAACACGCGTTTTACAAATCTAATGGTAGTTTTGTGAAAGACGGTATAATATATGGAGAGAATGGCAGAGCCCTAAATCAAATTCCATTAATAGTCGATGGTCATTCTATTAAAGATGGATTAGTGTACAATAGAAATAATAAACCACTATTCCAAGGTCTTTTTAAGCCCGATGATCTTGTAATTAAAGAAGGTATATTGTACAATGCAGACAATACATTAATGTCAAATACTAATATTGGCCCTGAAGGATCAGTGAAGGATGGTATTGTTCTAGACAAAGACGGTAAACCAGCAAAACAGGAATTGTTTGGTTCGAATGGAAGCTATATAAAGAAAGGTATTATTTATGCGAAAAATGGAAAGTTGCTTAATCAAGAATCGTTCGTGCCCGAAGGTGCAGCTATTAGAGATGGCAAGATATATAACATGGATGGTAAATTATTAAAATTTTCATTTTTTAAACCGGATGGTAGTTATGTCAAAGATGGTCTCATTTATGGCAGTGACAATAAACCATTAAAGTTGAATGCAGCTTTACCGGAAGACAGCTTTATTGTTGACGGAGTGATATTCAATCATTTGGGAAAACTTTTAAACAGAGAATCGTTTGGATCTGACGGCTCATACGTAGCGGGTGGATTGGTTCGCGGAAAAGACGGCAGGATTGTGTCGCAAGGCGTATTTGGTCCTGATGGTAATACAATTCGAAATGGTATTATTATAGGTAGAGACGGCAAACCTTTAACGCAAGATGATAAAGGTCCAGACAATATAGCGGTCAATAACGGAAAGATTGTAGATAACCACGGAAATCCGAAGAATTTACCCTCGCTGATACCTGACGGATGTTACATACAAGACGGAGTGGTCTATGACAAAAACGAACAATTGCTGAGACAAGGTGCGTTCAAGTCTGATGGATGTTACATTCGAGATGGTCTTATTTACGGCTGGGGAGGCCAACTGCTGAATGCAGGCTCTGAATTACCTGGTGATAGTTACATTGAAGAAGGTAAAATATACGGCAAAGATGGGAAACTCTTGAATCATAGTTCGTTTGGCATCGAAGGTAGCTTCATCGAAAATGGTATTATTTACGGAAAGGATAGAAAACCGCTCGGTCACGGTACGTTTGGAAATGATGATAATTATATTAGAAACGGTTTATTATATGGGCCAGATGGAAAACCGTTAAATAAAAGGCGGAGCGTAATTAACATTACGTATGTTCGTTATGGCTTAGTGTGCGACGATAATGGAAAGCCACTCAAGTTCGGGAATTTTGATAATGACGGTAATGTAATCAAGAATGGCAGAATTTACGATCCCGCAGGAGGATACTTCAACCAAAATATTTATGGTCACGATGGTAACTTTATTAAAGATGGTCTAATTTACGGGCGCAATGGAAAGCCTCTCTCCCAAGGTGCTTTACCACTGGAGAGTAGTTACGTAAAAAGCGGCAAGATTTATGAGGCAAATGGTCAGCCGCTGACTCAAGAAGCATTTGGGCCGGAGGGTCTAAAAGTTATACAAGGAATTGTGATAGATAAAACGGGCAAACCAATGAAACAAGGGAATTTTGATACTGAAGGGAATGTCGTCAAAGATGGGATAATTTGCACATCTAATGGAAAACCGCTCGACAAACATTTTACAATGATTATCACCATGGTGCATAAGGGACTCGTATGTGACAAGAATGAAAAACCGATCTTACGAGCACCGTTCGGGACCGATGGTGGTTTCGTTAAGGACGGCAAGATACATGACAAGTTGGGAAAATTGTATAATCAAGAACACTTTTCTGAGGACGGATCGTACGTAAAGGACGGTGTGATATATGGAAACAATAACCAATTGCTGAATAGCACGACGATTCTGAAAGATTTACAAGAGCCACCAAAATCCATTTCTGCGAAATTGAAAAAACCTGCAATTCCTACTACGACACCGACAATCGTGAAAACGACAACCAAGCAATCTGTAGTCAAGGATCAGGAAGGTGTAACGCAAAATATTCAGAAAAAAGTTGAGGATCTTACACCGGGTGGCACAGGCCAAGTCACAGTATCTACTCACGTTAACAAGGTGATATGTTTGAAAAGAATAAAACTAATTTATTGACAGAATCTTTTCATAAGTCGAAAATTCAATATATCATCAGATATTCATATAATTTAAAAATATAAGATTTGCATGTTTATAATTATGTAGTGATGTATCTTGATTCTGTCGGCGTTAGTCAATGCTATAGAACATTTCTTTTCATTTATATTTTACATTCGCAAATACATTGCATGAAATTGAATGAGATATATTTGTTTACAATAAGTATAAAAAAGATACGCTAGTAAGTTTTTTATGAAAAACTAAAGGCTTCGATCCTTGACGACCATGTTGGAATTGTCAGAGGCGAAAAACACGTGAAAATTAAGTGTCATTTTTAGATAACTAGACAACACAAACGCGCGCTTCGCGCGCGCCATTGATTTTATGTACTGTGATTTAATATTATTTTGAACAACTGTCAAACTATTACCTTTGCGTTGACAGCTGTTCAATGCTACAAATATAACACACAACGCAAATCGAGACAACTAATCAGCAACACGAAAAAGCGACAACAATACATGCGAAAATCGACTTTGCATGCCTTTTTTTACAAAAAAGGAAGGAAAAGATATTTCGATGAAACATTATTTCAGATGGCTTTAATATACTTTTAAAATATTTCAAAAGATATCTTTTTCCCTTTATAATCAATTATTAACAGCTGTACAATGATTACGATATGAGACCAGATCCGTATAATCTTGCACATGTGCAGTTATTCCGCATGATAAAATCTTAATTGTTTCATGGTTATTGATTGACTGTCAAGGGAAAAATAGTTTTCGGATTATTTTAAAAATGTGCTAAAGTTATCTGAAGTTATGTTTAATTAAAATATTTTTTTATCTAAAAATGTCAAGAATTTTCAGCATGTATTTTCTCGCCTCTGACGTCACCATGTAACATGGCCGCGACAAGCATCCAGGAGCCTTAAATAATTTTGTAAACATTGCGGCATCTATTATCTATAATTTTATATAAATTAACATATATTCATTTTGCAAATTTGTTTTACAACTGATTTTATACTTTGTATTACAAAATACAGGATGTCGCATAGGAAAATATTGAAACTAATTAGCTGTTAATTTTTAATGTATCCAGTTATTGAGAAAACAAAAATTGTGTTGAAAAGAGAAAAGTTTAGTTTTTAATCGATATAAATAAAATGCTTGTATTCCAGTTTATTGGTAAAAAGTAATGAAAAAATGCTAATAATCACATATGTAAACTAATGATAAATATTTTCAAAGTGGACCATTTGAATCTGTACAAAATTATATTTTTTTAAACTAGTAAACGAAAACTAGTAAAAACTTTCTAACAATGTCATTTTTAATGTTATTGACGATTTTTTTAATAGTTGCTATTAAATCTGGTACTGGTGAAAATATTTATCATTAGTTTATGTGATTTTGTGATTATCAGCACTTTTTCATTACTTTTTATCAATACTAGACGCTTCGCGCGCGCCATTGATTTCACGTTCTTTGATTTAAAATATTATTTTGAACAACTGTCAAACTATTAACCTTTGCGTTAACAGCTGTTCAATGCTATGAATATAACACATAACGCAAATCGAAACAACCAATCAGCAACACGGAAAAGTGGCAACAATACATGCGAGAATTGACTTTGCATGTCTTTTTACAAAAAAAAGAAAAATAAACCAGTATATAAACATTTTATTTATATCCATTAAAAATTGCAAACTTCTCTTTTAACACAATTTTTGTTTTCTCAATAACTGCATGCATTAAAAATGACAGCTGATTGGTTTCAGCATTTTCCCATGGGATACTTTATGATTTAGCACGTGCCTATAAAGATTATTTTCTTACATATATACTTACTAGTTAACTTGTATTTATTTACATTTTTAATTATTTATCAGTTGTATGTCTCAAGATCTTAGTTACATGGTAGTTGTATTTAGGCAGAAGCATCTGATGATGGTAGAACTCCATATATGACAGCAACAGCTGTCACTACACGTACTGCTACGATGCATGAGGATCTTGAAAAGAATCAAAAAACAAGTCAGGTTTGTGTAATTAGTATTATTAGTGTTATTTTGTATGTAGAATATTAATTTAATGGGAATTTATTTGAACTTGTTTTATATAATAGGGTGTCCCATTTTAATGGAAATAGCTGTATGTTTTCTAAACTTGATGTATAAAAATATATAGTAAGATTTTGAGAGAGAAAAAATGTTTATAATCTTGAATTTTAATTAAGGTCATTTTTCAAAGTAATGTTAAAATCAACCAAATTTTTTAAAATAAAATTACATTTTTTTTTTTTATATAAATCGATTCCTTACAATATTCGATACATATATATAGGTAGCAATAGATATATAGGTTGCAATCTTCTTGATGCTACAAATCCTTCGAAGTATTTTTATGCTCTCCTTATTAAAAGAAAAGAGAAGAAGAACGCTGCGGAACATTTGTAATATCAAATAGATTATAGTCATAGGAAGATCAATGTGAATAATGGTCATGTAAGTAATTTGATTTACGAAATATTTTATATTTTAATTTGACGTGTTACGTAAACTATAAAATATCTTGTAAAATGTTCAAATCATTTTATCTCAATACATTTATGTATAAAATGTCAGGATGTATAAAGAGAATACATAGCTGTTTAACTAATAGCTATATGTATACAGGATGTCTGACATAAAGTGTCACACTAAAATATGCAAGTAGATCTTGTTATTTGGAGACAATTTTTTTCAGTAAAAATATTGAGGCATCAATTTTCGAGTTATAAGCGATTGAAAATAAAGGGTTTTTCGCAAACTAAGCCTTGTGGAAATAACATATTAACAAAACCACATACATTCTTCAATTAATTTCAAGTAGAGTTTACTTTAATAAAATTTTAATTTAAGGTTTAGTTATAAAAATACATGATGGCAAAAATTGGGAACATGCAAAAAATGATGACCTCCCTCGACATTTCCGCTGAGGAAAAATCATACCGTATGATAACCGAAAACTGAATATTTTGCACGATATTTTACATTTTATGTCCAAAATTGTTAACTTTAAACCTTTATAAGTCAAAAAGTATGTACGAGAAAAATATTTTAGTGTTTTGGAAAGCTCTCGAGCTAAAGCTACAATAATATGTAATAAAAATTAGGGATTTCTATTTAAGATTTTTATGTTGACGAGAATTGTGTTTTTCAAGATCATCTCAAGGTCAAATAAATATCATCAGCTATCATTAGCTAATAGATTTTTTAAAGCTCTACAACTTTTATTTGAAACATTTTTCCAATAAATCAATATTTTTCAAGATTTTTAACCGTTCCCGAACTTTTTGCCAACACTGTATATATCCGAAAACAACTTTTTAGTGTTTTTTATACCAAATGATTTCGCCCAAGTAGTAAACTGACGTCAAACTGATTTTTATTTTAACGTCTAATGATGTCACTTGACATCAAAATGACGTACGCTTGCTACCTAAACTTTTATTATATTTTGTGTATAAAAATATTAAGGTAATACAATCAAAAAAATAAATATTTTAGAATTTATGTAACATTATGTTATATTATAAAGTACAAAATATCTTGTAAATTATTCATCTTTTGACCATTTTATTTTTATAATTTTTTGTACCGAATATTGTCAGAAGTTGATTTATATATATAAAAAAGAATGTTACTTTGAGATGACTTCACTTGAAGTTAACCTGTAATTAAGTGACCTTGAAAAATATTAATTAAAATTCAAGATTCGCAATTTTTTCTCTCTTAAAATATTATTTTTATCTAAAATATTTTTTTATACGACGTTAAGTTTAGAAAATATACAATTGTTTATTAAAATACATCTTACACACATACACATATATATATATATATATATATATATATATATATATATATATATATTAGATTATTCGGAAAGTTCGTTTCAAATTTCGTGCGCTCTGCATTTCTATATAATCAGTAAATGCAAGGGCGATTTTCTGCTTATTAGCTAACTTTACATAGGTAATACAGCCTTCAGCTGGACGAATTGAAGACTGCCATCGCACGAAAGCGCCCTGAACTGGCCAACAGGCGTGGAGTTGTCTTTCACCATGATAACACCAGACCTCACGTCGCGATATCTATCTGTAGGAAGCTATATTAGACGTAAAATGGGACGTTTTTCCTCATCCTCCATATTCTCCCGATCTTGCCCCATCTGACTACTACCTATTTCTTTCTTTTAAAAATTTTCTTTGAGACAAGAAATTCGAGTCATTCGAAATCCTCAAAATCATCTCGATCAATTCTTTGTCAGTAAGAAACCTTCATTTGGGAAGAAAGGCATCATGTTACTTTCTGAAAGGTGGGTCAAGATGGTTGAACGAAACGGTACATAGGTGCTTAAATATAGTTCCTCTTTGTGTAAAATATTCCGTTCAAATTTATATTGAAACGAACTTTTCGAACAACCTAATATTATATATTTATGTATGTATATATATATTTTATATTTTATTTTGCCTAAGTCTATTATTTGCTAGTTGTAATTTATTTTTTACATTAGGTAGAAGAAAAGACTGTAGCACATACAACCGCGACTAGTGCAACGAGGCAGGAGCAACGAGTAGTGACACAAGAGGTTCGAACCACGAGTCATGTGCTTTCTGGCGAACAGGTAATTTCTGGATATTTCTTTTTTCAAATCTTTTGTGCGCTTGAAATTAATAAGTAAAGCATGTAAGCGTTTTTTTGCTACATGTGGACATTTTTGGATTTTGATCTAACTATATTATTTAACATTTAAGTTTTTATCATTTTATATAACATTGTGCTGCATACATATATAAGATCGCATATGATCATATAGCACAATATAAGATTGTTTCACATATATACATAATATTTTTGTCCATACATAATGTTTAATTCTCATCATTTTTCAGTTGATTGTTTTTTTAAATGGTATTATTTTAACACTTTATTGGATGCAAATTATACTTATATAAAACATTAGTTAATATTTTAAGCATAAAATAATAATAATTTAATTGGGAACATTTAATCACACTCATATACATACTCGTATATAATATATATAATCATTCTCATTTATTTTATTTATTTTTGTTTCTGGTGAAATTTTTGTTGCTTGGTTAACACGTTGCATGGCGTAGCTGTTCTCACGAAGACTAAGTACATCGAGTTCAAGCAGCGGAGATTCAGGCACGCCAATTGATCTTGACGATGACCAACAAGCTTTCTACAATCAATATTATCAGGTAATCAAATAACGGTCAGATCAAATAATAATCAAATCATCACTTTGCTCTACTAATATACATATTAGGATATTGTGTATATTTAAGAGCTGCAGAGGGTTACAGGTATTCATGAACATATAACATATTTTGGTATAATATTTGTCCTAGCAGCTATCTCAATGCAGTGCATATTTGCATTAAGGTATTTTTGCTTGTATCTTTGTATCGCATAATGTTTAAAGAAATGTAATTTATGCATTATTTTTCGATACACAGAATATATAGATCTTTTAGAGCAGATTTCGTTACATATATTGTAGCAAATATGTAAGCGAAATTGGAATCTACTAAAAGATTTTAGGATCGAGTCTCGGTAAGTTCCTAATATTTTTTTTCTTTGCTTGGGAAAAGCTCGCAATATATGATACAAAGGTTTAAGATGTAAATGTGTAAATATGATATCGTAAATACAGCGTTAGCATAATTTCTGAATTTATCAATTTTATCAATTGTAAAAAATTAATTCCTTTGATTGCCTGTTGTTTTTATTTTCTTTATTAATTTGCAATCAAACCTAGGCTGCAGTACGGTATGCGTTACGAGTAACTGCGGAACGTTTATAGTAGCATTACAGTTGGTTCTCTTAGCACTACAAAACGTTACAGCAAATATGAGGTCACAAAATACGTTATTATATTCGCTACCAAGACGCTTCAAACGCCTCTTACGAGATCGACTGTAGCGTTATAGAAATCTCGTACCAAACACAAAAGTTGTAGTACTATTGAGAAGAATTATAGTACTATTGAAAAATTTAAAATGTTGGAATTACAATTGTTTGATTAACACTACTTAAATGGCTTTAGCACACTTTTAAAATATTTCGAAAAATGCGGAATAACTGTGCATGTGCGAAGACATGCTAAATCTCATATTAATTAGAATCCGTTTTACAACTGTAGATTGATTATAAAGGAAAAAAAAATAGTTTTCGAGGTATTTAAGAGTTTGTTAAAATTATCTGAAGTGTTGTCTCATCAACATATCTTTTTATTTCGAAATGGCATCTAAGAATTTTTAGCATGTGTTTTCTTGTCTTTGACGTCACAATTTCAACATGGTCAGTCAGCACCAGGAGCCTTAATTTTATTAAATCAATAAGTACAACGAAAGAAGGCCTTAAGAGCCATACGCGAATAATTGCTTTAGAAATTGCTTAAGAAATAGTTGGAAGAGCAGTCGCCCGGCAAGCGAAAGGTCTCGGGTTTGATTCCCTGATTCAGCGACTTTCGGATCTATATTTTTCTCTCGCAATTATTTATTTATTTATTTTCTCTGGCGTTATTGGAGGGGTTTTAAAGAAATTAAATTTCAAGTAAGAGGGATTATTTCTAATAATCAAGTTTTCGTAGTACACCAAGAATAGTAGGTGCTTTGTACATATTTGTTTATTTTCATCGAAAAACTTATTTTCGGTGGAATATATTCAAGAACATCCACGTATAGCTCTTAAGGGGATCCTAAACGGTTGGCCGAATTCCAACGGATGCTTTGAGAAAACTTGTTTTTTTCCTTTTTTATCGACAAAATATGAGGTTTGATAAACTATAAATCTATTTATTGGCTATATGGATTGTTTTTTTACCTGAAATTAGAACGCTTCCTCCTTTGTTAATATTAATACTTTAATTTGTACAGGAAAAGATTTATCAATCTGTATAATCTCATATATCTTGGTTATAGAATTATAAATGCTTAGAATTCATAATTCTGTAACCAAGATATATGAGATTATACAGATTGATAAATCTTTTCCTATACAAATTAAAGTATTAATATTAACAAAGGAGAAAGCGTTCTAATTTCAGTTAAAAGCAATTCATATAGCCAATAAATCTAGATTTATAGTTTATCTAACCTTATATTTTGTCGATAAAAAAGGAAAAACACTTCTCAAAACATCCGTTGGAGTTCGGCCAATCGTTTAGGATCCCCTTAAGGCCTTCTTTCGTTGTACTTATTGATTTAATATTTAAAGAGCCTTTTTTTTTTTTTTTATAGTGAGGAAATTTGCTTTAACCAACAAACCGTACCGACTGGGTCCTGAGGGAGGACTCAGAAGGCGTGTGGGGGATTCTCCACCTCAGAAGGAGATGGCCTGACCCAAACCTAAAACCTCACTGAAACCCTTGCCTTGACGGGTATTGTCCACCGGGAACCGCTTTCGCATAAACTTCCAGTGGACACCCTCGGCCATGACCCCTTTCGAGGCTCTTCCCCCTGGAAGAAGGTGGTGTTTCCTCCAGGAACACACTTCCCGTGCACTCTCACCCTACCTGGGAGAGGGCAGCAAGAGGGAGCCGGGTTCCGAACTCCCTCTCTTCGTCCCAGGGACAGCGTGCAATGAGATTGGAGCCCTCACTCCTCACTCGTGCCGTCCCCGACGGAGGCGGTGAAAACCGCCCGACAATAAACACAAGACGTCACATGGACATCACCAGACTGAGACGTCACAAGGACATCACAAAACTAGAACACGGTGCACAAAACATGTACACAACCACAATCGTGACCAAACTGAGTAAGGGCCACAGGCCCAGCCCACAGAGGGCTAACATAAAAGGCGCAAAGGCTGAACCACATTGAGTGGGTGAAAGGATGGTATTTCACCCACGACAAGAGACGACGAGGTTGACTAATGACAACACTAAAGACCACAAACAGAGAGCGTAACCGTACCTGCCAGTTCCGATTAAGGAACAAATTGCAGGCCGCAGCTCCCATAATCCACAGTGTGCTAGGACAAGGACTAGGACAGAGAGCGTAACCGGACCTGCTTGCCTCCCGCAAAGGAGGACGAGTGCAGGCCGCAGCTCCCATAACCACATTAGACGTGACTAACGTACAGACATTGAGGAGGTCGAGGGAACCGCGAGGTCACCTAGCGGCGCCCCCGGCGATCCCTCGCCCTCCGAAACACGCATCGCCTCCGGAGACCCACCCACAGGGGAGGGCCCACCGAGACGCCGACGACCTTGAGGGAAGGAGCGCTCACCAGCCCTCCATAAACCTTTAGGAGGAATAATCCTCCTTGCGCAGGCCCCGGAACCAGCCCTGTGCTGTGAAGGCTTACCGGCCCTCTTGCACGCCAAACAAAGGGGCGGCGCCACACATCCGGCTGCCATATGTCCCTTCTGGCCACATCGGTAGCAGCAACCGCTGCAATCTGCCTCCGACTCGCACCTATTGGCCGTGTGGCCAAACGCGAGGCACCTAAAACATTGCAGAGGGCGGCGAGCGAGTGACGTGACCGTCAACTCCCACCACCCCCCGCCCAATGAGATGCTCCCGGCCCTGACCAGCTTGCGCGCAGCCACGGCCGGGCAGCGAAGCCATACAGTGCCCACCTCGGAGTTGGGGAACAATCGGATGTCCCCCATCCTCACTTCACTCGCCTCACAGCCGGAAGCCGACACTACCTCCGAAAGGATATCCTCCTTTGTGATGAGGGCCATCAGCCCTCTCAGTCTAATCTCTTCCATGCGAGAGGGACGACTAACCTTGACTCCTTCCTTGGTAGAGAAGTTCACCTCCCTCAGCTTGGACGCCAACTCGTCCGCCAATCTTGAGGAGTCCCTTCCTTGGACGGACAGCAGGATGCTGCCCGTCGCCCCACGACGAAGACGCATCGACTTGATGCCCAATTTGGGCGGATCAACGTGCTGCTTAGCCTCACGGAGAACCGAGGCATATGTTCTCTCGCGCTCCTCCCCCTCCACCGCACCGACCGTCAGCGAAACCACCGACGACGAGGGGAGAGAGGGAGGCACACGCCTCTTCTTCCCTCCGCGAGCTGGAGCGCTCGCCGCAGCACCATCAGAAGCAGGCCCCGAGCGACGACGACGACGCCGACGACCACGACCCCCATCTACAGCCCCGCGCCCGGAGGCATCCGCCGAGACCTCCGCAAGAGCGGAAGTAGCAGAGCCCCCAAGAGCGGGAAACCGCATCGGTGCAACCGCACCACCAACTCTTCGCTGCACGGGCGCACGCATGGGCGTCGCTCCAAAGGGAGCGGGCCCAGCCCGCCCCGCAAGCTCTGACCTCAACGAGGCCACGACAATTGACGCAATGTCGCCCCTCAAGTCGTTAATACGACGATCAATAAGGGACGACACCGCCGCCACCGTAACCGGACAATCATCGTGCTGCTCGTCAGCAGCCAGCAATGGGGATCCGCCAGCCTGGTCCGGAGAGGGACGGTCCCGCCGCGTCCTCTTCCTCTTCTTCCCGGTATCCGGGAAGTATCGGGCCTCCACTTCGGGCAATACAGCCCGAAGAGAAGCCAGTTCTTGTCTCGTGCTCTCAAGTTGCCTCTCAAGAGCCGAGATCCTGGTCCTCAGACCCTGGTTTGCGCTACGAAGCGCGTCCATACCAGGGTCGGCATCTGTAGAGGCCCTTACCGCCAACTCCTCGAGCACACCACCCAGCTTCATCGAGGAAGTCCGGAGCTCCCTGGCAAAGAGATCCTCAATGCCATGGACCCCGGCCAACCTCTCCACTTGGGCAGTGAAGACCCCCGCAAGCTTCTCCAGCTCAGGAGCGGTCTTACCCCTGAGCCCCGTCCTAAATGCCTCGTCCGAAGGCGCATTCTCTCGCCCGACCGCAGTGAGCACTGGATCCAAAGATGGATCCAGGACCCTCCGCAGATCCGCAAGAGGAGCTCCCTACGCGTAGCCTCGTTCAGCCGTTCTTTGGCTTCCGCGAGACCAGCATAGTCGCCCGTAGTCTTAGGGCGACCCCTACCGCGCGCGCCGCGCTTACCTGCTTGATCAGCAGCACTCTCCTTAGGAGGGTACTGCTTTCTGCCTGTGAGGATCCTTACGTCATGGACCCTCCACGTCGGATCCCTCTCCTCTGCCTCGTCCTCCGAAAACGGCGAAGGGAGCGACACGAAGGTGAGGTCTCCCCCAGCTTCCTCGTCGTCGCTTGCCCCACGCATCTTCTCCGGAGACGGGAACGGTCTCTCACCGCTGTCCTCAGGCTCGTCCGAGCATTCCTCACTCCCGATGACCGGAGACGGAGAATCCACGGTTCCGCACGCGGGACACTTTTGGACAAAGTCCCAGCGTACCCGCGAACACCAACACTTAACGGTGTGCTTCTCGCTGTGTTCGAGGAGCACACGGTACTCCTCCAACACATGACACCTGGAATCGACCCGTGCAAGTAGTCTCCTGACATACTTGGGATCGATTCCATCGTCCCGAACCATAAGGCCCTCATGAGCCCTACGGATCCTCCTAGTGTCCTTCGGCACTGTCGCTTCCTTATCTGTAGCCCCAGCCGGCAAAGCCACAGACGACCTGTCGTGTGATGACGACATGAGGGGAGCCAGGCCTACACCCCCCCCCACGCCGGTTCCCAGTATCCGACCCTGGGAAGTCGTCTCTTTTCTTCGATGTCATCCCATCTGAAAAAGAAAAAGTGGTTTTTTCTGTCGGGGGTTTTCCTTCCCCTTAGGAGGTTGCCTTACTCAGCTAACGGGGCTCTCCCCCCGGGTGTTATCTTCGGTGTTTTCCTTCACCTAGTGCAGTGGACAAGTCCTTTTTAGGGCCTGCACGCCCATCACACCCCATTCATCCTTCGCACGCACTCCAGCTCGGGTACCTCGGGATTGCGACACCCGTACACTACAGGGATGAGTCTGTAGTGCCCCTGAGGGATATTTAAAGAGCCTTGATATACAATCTTTGCCTTAATTTTATATTGTAATTTTTGTTGTTTTTAAAAATATTATACCACAATTTAACGAATTGTCAAATAACAGATATATGAATAAATTTTGATTCAGGGAGATCCAGCCGTGATTGCAATTGAGAGGCATGTTTATATTGTATTTATTTTCTCTTTATTAATATTTCAATATTTATTTTATATTATAATTTTTACTGTTTTTTTTAATTTATATTTTAATGGATTCTCAAATAAAAGATATGTGAATAAATTTTGATTCAGGGAGACCCAGCCGTGATTGCAACTGAGAAGCATGTTTATATGGGAGAACCAGAGAACAATGTGACGACGACGACTACGGTACCCGTAGTGACAACCGAAACGAGAAAAGTAGCTCTCGAGAGTGAAGATGGTAACTATAGCGCCACAGGAGAAATAGTCAGCACACAGACCATATCCAGTAAAACCCGTACCGTTGAAACTATTACGGTTTGTACATTTTATCAATATATTATATTATTTGTGTATTATATAATTTTTAATTAATCGTTGGTTTTATAGTATAAAACGGAGAAAGATGGTGTAGTGGAGACACGAGTGGAACAGAAGATAACGATACAATCGGATGGTGATCCGATTGATCACGATCGAGCTTTAGCAGAGGCGATACAAGAAGCCACTGCTATGAATCCGGATATGACAGTAGAAAAGATCGAAATACAGCAACAGACAGCGCAGTAATTATTTGAAAATTAATCATCGTGTAAAAGGGCACTCTTGGTCTATAAATAGCACGAACATTTGTTATCTTAGAGACTAAGAAAATATATTAGTATTTATAATATATATTTTATGTTGCACGCTTTGCCGAATGTATCATGAAAAAGACAGAAGAATGCTACCAAAAATTGATAAATCTTTAAATATTCTATGAAGTTAATATATAATAAAGCAAGGAACAATATTAATACAAATTAAGCTTTGTACTTTCTTCCGTTAAAAGAGTCAAAGAAAGCTTTTGCTTATGTCTTGTCCAATGACTCGAGCTTAAATTGAAGACAAAATCGACTTTGATAGTTGGAAATAATGAAATATTGATGAAATCTTTTTAATGGAGAGAATAATATCTCGTATTATAACTACAGTGTTCATATTGAAATAATTAAGAAAATATATTTATATGCACGAGAGTATAAATAAATCTTATAAATATAATGTATACACATAGCTATGTATATGTATGTATGTATACAAATAGATAAGTTATTTATACATAGTTATGGCGATAATTAAATATATATACATACACATATATATATACACACACAAGACGGGGTGCCCTACAAAACTTAAAGTTTTGATAATGAACATTTTATAGCAGTAAAAAGAGAAATTATATTATATAACCATACAGATAATCTATACACGCTGCAACAATGATTGAACATGTTGCAATAAAGTAAATTATACATGGAACATTTTAAATTAAATTACTCATAATTAATAAATCGCAATTTTTTAATCAACCAAACCTATTAAAAGCATTTCTTTCTATCTGAATTCTCTGTTCTTTAATAAAAAAACTTATTACTTTCTCTCGTTCATCTTTCAATATGATATATATTACAAGTTATTAATATAAGTTAATAAACAAGTAAAATATTCTGGTTTGGAATCTTCGTATATAAAGAAATAAAAATAATGTATGTATGCGTGTGTGCGTGTCGTATACGTATGCGCGTGTTTGTGTGCGCGTACGCGTGCGTGCGTGCGCGCGCGTATATTGCAATAATATATGTATATAGTAATGAGTTATTATATTACTTATACAGAATGTCTTAAGATTTTCCAGTCAAATTGTGTTGATATTGTATACTCTAGAAATAAGGCGAATACACACACACGCGCATACGCACGCACACACGTATACATATATATGTACATACATATAATTTTGTTACATATTTCGTTAAAAGTGAAAAAGTTCAACAGTTTTATTTTTTCGAACCTGCGGTTTCATTTTGATTCAAAAGTATATAAAAAACAAAATTTAAAAAAATTAATAGACCATTTCGATAAAATTTAACAACTGTTTTATTTTTATTTTTATTTTTAATCGTACATTTTTGCATATTAAAACAAATTTGACTTGTAAATTATCAAAATTTTTAAATTATATAAGTTGAAGCTGCAATATACGTAATTTTGGTTATATAATGAATATATTAGAAAAATGAGATATATATATATATATTGTTTATTATATTTACAGAATTATTTTTGTAATGTTTCTGAAATAAGTTTTTTTTATATTAATATTTAAAATTATTATACAGTTAAGAAAAACCAAGATTAGACTTCTCATCGATTTTTTAAATACGATGCTGAATATGATGAATATGATTTTAAATTGCTGCATTATATTACAATTTATATTACATCTTTAAAAAAATTTACACTTAAAGTTGCAAGAAAAGACTATTTTAATGTGTATTTTATCATGCCTATTGTTATATGTATTTTTATCATAAATATCGATATTGTTTCTAATGTAGTATAGTAGAACGAGTCAATGATATTTATTTAATCTGTTTATGTTTATATATACATTCTATTTATTATACGTTATATTAAAATCTTAGAATTGAAGGTAATCGATTCAAACTTTCTTAATTATTGTTTATTATTTACAATGTTTCTCTTATTTTCATTTATTTACAATATTTTTATATAAATATTATATATGATTTATATAATAAAATACGATTACATTGAAAAACTGAATCACCCAATCAGCATAAATAGATTGGATAAATATCGTTAAATTAATCATACATATTAATGTATATTATAAGAGCAAATGATTACATTTTCTTTATAAATTTTATACAAAAGCAAGCATTATATTTTCTTTGTATTTTAAATTTTTGTATTAACTTGTTAAAGTATTTATAAGTCTAATGTTTATATATAATAACATTTTTTCTTATTTTGACTAATAAAACATTCTCATAATTCGATTGGGAAATCCTGGGAAATTACGCATGCGCATATATACATATTATAAAGACCATTGAGCTCTATACTGGAGCGAGATACCTTTCTATAGATACATATATAGCCGCATTTTTTTATTGTTAGTAATTGGAAATCTGGAAATCTAAATAGTTTTACTAAATAATGTATTTTATAGATTTTCAGTAAAGCGGGAGCACACACTTTTGCATAGGCGCATAAGCGTAAGCATAAAAATCTTGATTAATCTATAAATGTATGCATAAGAAATTCAATCAATCGAATTTCTTATGCATATGCTTATGCGCTTATCCAAAAGTGTGTGCTCCCCGTTTAAAACTGCCAGTAAAAATGGCATAGTAAGAATAACTGCTTATAAGGTAGTAGACGATGTTCGCTGCAACTTAAAAGACACATTGTAAATAGTATGAGTGTCTATTTCTTTCTAGCGCATAAAGGTACATTTCATGCAGACGCTCGACGCTCATTTTTAGCGTCAAATCTGGTCACGTGGTAGATTGACTGAAATGAGCGTCGAGCGTCAAAACTAAACACAGTTTAGCTTTTATCTCTCGACGAATTTAAAAATCTACCACGTGACCACAGATTAATAGACAGATCGCCAAATCGTCATTTTTGCCCCTTACCGACACACTTTGCCTCTGGTTCGAGTCCAGGCTAATAAAATCCTTTGATTTTATCAAAACACTTTGCCTCTGGTGCGAGTTCAGGCTAAAATCTTTTTATTTTACACGTATAATCAAGGATTTTAGCCTGAACTCGCATTAGAGACAAAGTTTTTTGGTAAAATTAAAGGATTTTATTAGCCTGGACTCGAACCAGAGGCAAAGTGTGTCGGTAAGGGGCAAAAATGACGGTCTCCTCTTTAGACAGGCCTTTGGCAATCTGTCTATTAATCTGTGACGTGATCAGATTTGACGCTAAAAATGAGTATCGAGCGTCTGCATGAAATTGTACTTTAATAGGGGAAACAGCGACATCACGCTCTGCCAATGTAAAAGACATATATGTATGTCATGACCGGTTTTAACATAGACTATGTTTCCACCGGAGAGTTCAAATTGTGTCAGACGCCCGTATTCAAGATGATTTGATATCGACTCTGTAACTTTTCTAAAGTGAAAACGTGAAAAGTGAAAAATTTCCGCTAGTTATACATCGATTTCATTTTAAAATCAATGCGTGATTAGCGGAAATTTTTCATTTTTCACATTTTTACTTTAGAAAAAGTTACAGAATCAATACCCAGGGCCGAGAACGGCCGAGTAAAGAGGGGCACTAGCGCGCCAAATCAAATCGTCAAATGAAATTAAACAATACTGAACATTAATTGTTTAAGGGGATGCCGGAGCGTTGGCCGAACTCCGACGGGTTAGCGCCCGTATCTAAGCGGAACTTCCGTCGATAATTACCGACAATTTTAATTTCGCTATTATCGGCAGTTTCCATATATTAAAAATTTACATGTCAAAAAAAAAAATTTTATGTGTTCAACATATTATATTTTTTTAGACAACATAATATTTTACTGTTGAATCATTTCGCACACGCGTTTTTATCTAAGCGTGTCAATGACAGTAAAACATACATACATAATTGTGTCTATCTTTATCACATAGTTTGAACACAATAATATTATATATATATAATATTATTGTGTTATTATATTAATGTGTTAATATATATATATATATATATATATATGTATGTATGTATGTATGTATGTATGATGTATGTATGTATGTATATATACAGGGTGTCCCGCAACGTAATGTCCACAGTGAAACTTTGTATTTTAGGATCATCCTAAGTCAAAAAGTCTTAATATAACTTTATTTTGTAAATAATTAAAATTAATTTTTAATTATTTACACATTTATTTATTATTTATTTTTTTACTATGACAACGCATGTAATTATTGTTGTGCCTATGGAGACTTTTCATCAGGGACCTCAGAACTACAACATATTTCAATTTCAAGCAATTCGACTAAAAGCCAATTTCCATAAGAAATGTGCAGGGTCCTTTTTATCGCTAAAATGTTTGTAGAAAAAAATGTTTCAAATAAAAATTTTAGTATCTCAAAGGAGGCATAGTTGATGTCATAGAAATGTTTGTAAGAGGCAATTTTCAAGTTTATTTATTTAGTCAATTTATTTATTTTATATAAATTATTCTAAGCGTTTATGTAAAAGATTTTTTATGATATTCTGCATAAAAATATAAGGAAATGTAGCCGAGAATTGAACAGTTTCCGAGATATTTCACATAATTTGACATATTTTTGATATAAAATACAAAATATCTCGTAAAATATTTAGTTTTCAATGATCTTGCTTTTATGTATAGAATAATTAGACGAAACAATTGGTATAAACAACAAACATATTGTTTTTACGAAAAAATATATATAGCTGCATGTAGTAAATTGTATATTTTTTTACTGTGTATCTTTTTTTTATTTGTCTATAATTATTCTATACATAAAAGTATTATCGAACACTAAATATTTTATTTACGAAATATTTTTTATTTTTTATATCAAAATATGTTAGATTATGTAAAATATCTCGTAAACCGTTCAATTATTGACTTTTACCCTGTATGCAAAATATGTTACAAGGAATAAATTTACATAAATACTTAGACTAATCAATATAAAATAATAAAGTTGACTAATGATATTGAAAATTGCCTTCTACAAACATTTCTATAACATCAAAATATGTATATCTGTTGAAATACTGGAACTTTTATTTGCAACATTATTTTCTAAAAATTATACTCTTAGAAATAAAAAATTGTAACGTTTTATTTAGAACACTCAGTAAATATATTTATACACACATGTGAATGCTCATAAATATATTCATACACACACATGTGAATGATAAGTAATTATATTGATAATTATATGTAACTCGATAATAAAAAAATATTTATAATATTTTTTTAAATATCGAGGATAAAATGGGCTCCTCCATCGCCCATTCCCGTGAGAACGCAGCCACAAAATGTTTTTTTTTGTCTCCGATTATAGCAAACGAGACATTTGCATTAGGCGTCTTTTTGCAACGATATGTATCGGAATATAACAAATTATTGATTTGATAAATTTTTATTATTAGAACACTTTTTGAATACTAACTTTAGAATTCATCGTAT